ATATTCCATAAATACTCTATGTATGGAGAGACAATGTAACAAAACAATTAAAAGCCCAGCTCCAGAGCCTGTTTCCTCATTTGTAGAAACAGAATAATAACAGTGTGTACTTCATAGGGTTCTTGAGAGCATTAAGAGATGTATTTCATGTAAAGTGCTTAATATTCTCCTGGCAGTAAAGACTAGATTTGGGCGTGCTCAGCTGTAACCAGCACTGAGCACGGCAAAAAGAGAAGACAAGTAAAGTAAAAAAAAAAAAAATACCCGGTGCCTAGTATATCAGACTGAAAAAAAAAGATAAAAAAAAAAAAAAAAAAAAAAAAAAAAAAAAAAAAAAAAGACTAGATTTTCTTCCCACTCCAGATCCTTGATTCCTCTGCTTAGAGACAGCAGCTGTTACTGGTTTCTTTTATGATGTCTCTGTTGAGATATTTTGATAGAAAAAGCAGTAAAAAATGGAAACTGGCACATTTCTAGATTTTATTGACTTTCTTAAAAAGAACTTTGACAGATCTGAAATTTTACCCCATTTGTAAGCTAACAAGTTAACCTGCCTCAGTTTCATGGATACTGGCAGGGGGCAGCATCCTGGGTCAGTAGGCAGCATGAACTTCATGTTAGTTCCCCCTGACATTCATATCTAATGGTAAGGGAGGAGACCACCCGCATATTGTCTTATGCCCAATTTCTGCCTCCAAAGAAAGAAGAAGTAAAAACTAAAGGCAGAAATGAAATGCACAAGCAGACAGCCCAGAGCCACACCCTGGTCCTGGTAGTTAAAGATCGACCCCTGACCTAGTTGGCTGTGTTGTCTATAGATTACAGACATTGTATAGAAAAGCACTGTGAAAATCCCTGTCCTGTCCTGTTCTGTTCCGTTCTAATTACCGGTGCATGCAGCCCCCACCGAGTCACGTACCCTCTGTTTGCTCAATTGATCACGACCCTTTCACATGGACCCCCTTAGAGTTGTGAGCCCTTAAAAGGGACAGGAATTGCTCACTCGGGGAGCTCAGTTGTTGGAGACGTGAGTCTTCCCGAAGCTCCCGGCTGAATAAAGCCCTTCCTTCTTTAACTCGGTGTCTTGGGGGTTTCGTCTGCGGTTTGTCCTGGTACAACGGGAGTGATATGGAACAGCCCAGGTGAATGCTGTGCATCATAGCTAAGGGACCTTGACTTGGGAAACCCTGTCTGTAAGAAAACTCACTCAGCTTTTGCCCCAGGAGAAGATATTCTCTACAAAAATAATTGAGAAGATAGTCTGAAACAAAAGCTGTTCAGCGCTGCTGCTCACAAAATGTGCACAAACCTGAGACCCACAAATCTTCCTACCAGCCTATTTCTTCCTCCTTCCCCACTTTCTTTAACTAAAAAAGAAATTTATAAGTTAATTTCAGTGGAGAAGTAGATGGTTTTTTAACCATCAAATACATTATAAATTCACTAGAAAAACTGTAAGCCTTATATATGTGGATATAAAGAAAAACTAATTATGTGCAAATGCAAGAATATTGGCAGTATGTTGTATTTGACAGTAACTCTTTGATAAAGTCAACTAACAGCACAATTTTTAAAAATAGGTGTAGTTTTTAAAATGCAGTTGTTTGGATTTTTTTTTTAGTTATTAAATGTTTTATCCTTATGTCAGTTAAACAGGTTATAATGCTTTACAGGTTATATAGTACTTTCAGAGAAACTTGACTTAAATCTCAAAATAGTCCAATGAGAAGATAACCCTGTTTTATAGGTACAGAAATTGAGGCTTAAAAAAAATTAAGTGAGTTGTGCAAGGTCAGATGTTAGTAAGTGGCAGAATGGTAATCTAAACCCAAGTTCTCAACAACAATTATAAAAAATCTGAAAGTCTGTTTTTTCCTAGAATTTAGCTACTTTATCTTGACCCTTCTCAATCAGTAGTCTGTCTTCAATGATTTGGACTTTAAACCACTTTTAGAAATATGTCTGTGAACTCATGTGCATATCCAGAGTTTCACAGGTCAGCAAGAGAATGCCTCAGAATAGATTTTCCAATATGTAGCAACATGGGCCTAAATAATAATTTTCAAGATTATCTCTATATTTTTATTTTAAATAAAAGTGCATGCCAGATCCTGGATTAATGAGAAAGGGATCAAATATTAATCCAAAATGGAAGCTATTTTAATTTAGAGATTTGGTGTTATTTAATTTGATATACAAGGAGGTTAGAAGGAGAAATAGGTTTTACAATAGAGAAAAGTTTTTCTTACACCTGATGAGTGTTTTAAGTAGGATTTTTTGGGCCAGTTAATCCATGCTAATAGGAAATTTGGAAAATAGAGAAAAATATAAAAATATAAAATAGAGTCCCTTATTTCATTAACATCGTAATAAGAGATAAGCACTTTTAATTATTTATGGCCTTCTAGTCTTTTAATCAGTGTCTGTAAATTGAGATAATTTATGCATTTTTGCTTTTTTGCTTTATTTAACCCTGATTGCAGTTTCTATGTGATTATTTTTACAAAATATTTTTGTTAGCTATGTCACGTTCTAGTGTCAGAATTATTAGTATTTAGTTAAAATATGCTCAGATTGGGCTTTTAGGTTGTGTTTTTGCTGCAGTAAACATGATAGGAACAACATGTTTTCATGTACAGCTTTATCCTCATTTTGTACTATAGGAAAAATATTTAGGTTAGAATTACTAAGTTAAAAAATGGACACTTGGGGCCGGGCACAGTGGCTCACGCTTGTAATCCCACCACTTTGGGAGGCTGAGGTGGGCAGATCACCTGACGTCGGGAGTTCAAGACCAGCCTGACCGGCATGGAGAAACCTCGTCTCGACTAAAAATACAAAAAATTATCCAGGCATAGTGAGTGGCACATGCCTGTAATCCCAGCTACTTGGGAGGCTGAGGTAGGAGAATCGCTTGAACCCGGGAGGCGGAGGTTGCAGTGAGCTGAGATCATGCCATTGAAGTCCAGCCTGGGCAACAAGAGCGAAACTCTGTCTCCAAAAAAAAAAAAAAAAAGAAAAGAAAAAAGACACATATTTATGCTTTCCATATTTCATGGTAATTTGCTTTCTAAAAGGCTATATGAATTTTTAAGTGTGCTTGTTTCTCTATGTGTTCAACAGAATGGAGTGCTATCTTTACTAAGTTTGGTAGAGTTGGTAGTTTGATAGCTAGTAATGTTATTTTAAATTGCATGCTTTTAGTTACTAGTAAGCAATTTGAATTCTGTGAAACTTGTTTATGATCTTTACTCATTTTTTTCATTTTTTAAATGCATTTATGATCTCTTCAGGCTATTAGCCTCTTGTCATCAAACATGTGCAAGATTTAAGACTCACCAGTGTAGGGTTAACGGATGAGTTCTCAGAGGCAAAGGCTTTATAGAGAATAGAAGATAGAAGTGTGAACTGAGCCCTGAGGACAACCTGCAAGGAGTGGATAAAAAGCCAATAAACAGAAAATTTTAGTGTTCAGAAATTAAAGAGAAGATTGAATACTTTCCCTCCTCTTAAAATTAATCCTTCCTTTATTATAAATATACAGTCTTTTCTCTCAGGATTTAGTTCAGTAACTCACTGATGTTACTCAAAAATTGTTATTAGATTAAAAAAATTTTCTGAGCTAAGATGACAGTGACTGTCTTCTAAATTTTAGTTTCAGTTAATTTTTCAAAACAAAACCAACACAGTCGAAGCCCCCTTGTGCACCTCTCTCCGACTGCATCCCTCCCTGCCTCCCAGTTATCCTGAAATTGATATTTATCACTCCCATCTTTTGTACCTGTCTCACATCGTGTACCTTAGTCTTTTCTTAATTAAAGCAGATGTTCCATGTAAACTTATTTATTAATATTTCTTCAACTGAAATACCATTTGGACCTAGGGAAAAGTTAAATATACTATTGTGTTATATTACTCCATTTACTTTCTTCTATGTTTGCCTTTGAATTGTCCAACTCTTTGCTAGTTCCATGCTTGGTTTAACCCACTGTTCTGCCGTCTGTGGTTAGCAGAACTCAGAAATTGGAGGAATCCAGAATAGTAGTTGAAATACTTGGGGTGGGGGACAGGGTAGGAGTGGAGGGTAGGAGCAAGAGGGCCAAGAGAAATGAAATGCAGCTGAGAGAATAATCAGATTCCTTCCAAAGCAACTGAACATTGTCAGTCTGCATAGCATCATAAATAGCTTTCTAAAACTACTGTTCTTCCCTGCCCCCCCAGATGGAGCCTTGCTTTGTTGCTCAGGCTGGAGTGTGGTGGTGTGATCTCGGCTCACTGCAACCTCTGCCTCCCGGGTTCAGGCGATTCTCCTGCCTCAGCCTTCTGAGTAGCTGGGACTACCAGTGTGTGCCACCACGCCCAGCTAATTTTTGTGTTTTTAGTGGAGACAGGGTTTTACCATGTTGGCCAGGATGGTCTCGATCTCTTGACCTCATGATCGGCTTGCCTTAGCCTCCCAAAGTGCTGGGATCACGGGCATGAGCCACTGCACCCGGCTAGAAACTACTTTTTACAGCTGGAGTTTCAGAACTAATTTAGTAAAGGATTGAAAAGGAGGATACAGTTGACTCATTTGTACAGAGTATATGACTCATTTGTACAGAATGAAAACATGTTTATGAACATGTTTCACACTAAGTGAAAGCTGGCATCCAACTTGATTCAGACAAAAGTGAAAGTCAAGAAGTTAATAGTACATTAATTCACCAAATGCATGCCAGCAGAGCATGGCAGGAAGGTACACAACTCAGCAGATCTGGGTTGCCCTGGTTCTCCTATTGACTCGTGTGTGTGATGTTAGGCGGGTGAATCTTGCCTTTGAATCTCCATTTGTAAAATACCTCTCCTGAAATAGAGATGGGTAGGGTAGTATACCATATTTCTTAAGATCTTTTATAAGTTGATTCCATTGTTTTAAATTATGAATCCTAAAGTATTTCTTTATGAAAAAATTTGTAAGGCTGTGATTTACTAAACTTCCTTAAAATTTTAAATTTTAGGGAAGACATGTAAGGAATTTACATAAGACAGCTATGCAAAATGGAGCTGGAGGAGCTTTATTTGTGGTAAGTAATTACTTACATTTCTTTGGAAAGAAAAGACTTGGAAATTTGGGTAAATCCATTGTAAAAATCCAAAATATCTTAAATACCGTTGTCTAAAATTGTGGGAATTTACATATAGCTAATTGAATTTACTACATTTCAAAAGACGTGTAGTTCCAGTTGAACCTCATGAGTTTAAATTAGTACCAGGAAAACTGTGGGAATAAGAATTTATTTCCAGTGAAATTACTGTGTGAGCCCTAACCTGATTCTCATCACACTTTGGATTCTCAGTCATGTTGGCTTACTGAGGGTTTGAAGATTGTAACTTGTTGAATCCCAAAATGACACTACTTTGAAACTTATGGGTTTTAGTAATGTAGTAACTAGATTAGCAGCTGGTCTTTATATTTTTAGTTTCCGGAGTTTTAACTATAGATAGAAATCTATGAACTCCCCAGATTAGTCGCACAATTTGGAAAGGATAAGATACTGTATTTCCCTTTTCTGACAAGGTGCAGTTTTCAGGGATTACTCTTGTGTAAAGGAAATATAGTGGACTTGTGTGATGATTTAGTTAGTGGTGTAAGAAGTAGCTTCCTGCTACATATCAATCATCAAATTGGCCACATATTTGAGATCATTGTCTAGAGTTTCTGTTTTCTTTCCTCTTTTGGTTTATGTCCTTTAAAAAGCAGAACTCTGAGAGTTAACATATCAAGAGATTCATTTCTGTATTCACCACACATACATAACATTAATTGATCGTAAGTGTTAATCTCAGTGTGACTCATTTGATTTCCTGTTGACATGCCATTTCTTGTCCGTTTTTGAAGAGGGCCTGCGTCTGCTCTTTTAAGAAGAAATCAAGCTTCTTGCTGTTGGCTATTATGGAAAATGTGGGAAAGAGATGGTGCTTTTTTTTCTTTTTTTTTTTTTTTTGAGATGGTCCTTTTGTACCCTCCTAAAGTAATGGGTCTTAACCCTTTTGGATCCCAGATCCCTTTGACAATCTGATACCCTCTCTTTTGGGAAAATACACATGTTCACATTTAATATTTTGTGTTTTAATTTCATAAAGGCTTCCAATAATTGGTAATGTTTTGGTAATTCTGTCAGAAGATCTTATTCTCTAATGAAGCTGGATAACACTTTTTGTTGTTTGGGTTTTTTGTTCCTAAAGGTACTTTTCTTATTCTTTAAATGGTCCTTTATAAAATTTTAAATTCTAACTTTACTTTGGTAATCATACTCATCAAATGTGTGTTTAGTCATTCTTTTTGATGGAAGGATAGGGTGCCATATATCATGTTGGAATTAAAATGGAGAGATTAAACAATAAGTAATAGTATAGTAATGTACAGTATTATTCACACTTGAGAGAAATCGGATAATTCTGAAAACCTTTTTTTGTTGTGTAGCACAGAGATACTCCTGAAAATAACCCTGATACTCCATTTGATTTCACACCAGAAAACTATAAGGTATGGCTAAATTAACATTATAATTAATGTACCAAATAGGTAATATTTTCTAGATGTGGAAAATGATGTTCTTTCTTTTACACAGAGGATAGAGGCAATAGTAAAAAACTATCCAGAAGGCCATAAAGCAGCAGCTGTTCTTCCAGTCCTGGATTTAGCCCAAAGGCAGAATGGGTGGTTGCCCATCTCTGCTATGAACAAGGTACTGGATTCATTTTTGCCTTAGTTCCAAAAGAGAAGAGATTGTGTATGATAATTTCCTTTTATAGAAATTACTCTGATCATCTCCAGTGTCAGAATCTAGGATTTTGGAGCCCTTTAGCCATTTGTATGTTTCCTTGAATTGTCTTTGTGTTTTTGTTCGTTCCCTTAATGCATAGAGGTGATTTCTAACCTTGCAGGAAATAGGGAAGGCATTATGGTGAAAGAGGGTATATGTGTTTTTTTTTTCTTTTGAAGGAAATGGTCATAGGAAAGATAAAAGATTCCAAATGTGTATAACTTAGTACCAAGATATTCTGAAAATGAATGTAATATTTAAACACTAGAATTACAGAAAAAAAGATCTGCTCAACAGTCTGAAGATTTTTAATATTTTATATCTTTGGCTGTAGGCTGTAAGAAAAATCTGTATAATATGTGATGTTTATACAGTTTATGCTACTTTGGAATCGACCTATAGAAATGCTATGGATGACCATTTTACGATTTCTATTCATATAATTTTTTTTGGCCGGGCCGGTGGCTCAAGCCTGTAATCCCAGCACTTTGGGAGGCCAGACGGCAGATCACGAGGTCAGGAGATCGAAACCATCCTGGCTAACACAGTGAAACCCCATCTCTACTAAAAATACAAAAATTAGCCGGCGAGGTGGGGCGCCTGTAGTCCCAGCTACTCGGAGGCTGAGGCAGGAGAATGGCGTAAGCCCGGAGGCGGAGTTGCAGTGAGCCGAGATCCGGCCACTGCACTCCAGCCTGGGTGACAGAGCGAGACTCCGTCTTAAAAAAAAAAAAAAAAAAAAAGATTCATTTTTTCTAATAGTTTTCAGCAGTAATCCAAATTTCAAGTTTATTCATATCCTATTAATATAAATAATTACATTTGTATGGTGATGTATTATAGCATATCATTTATAAAGTGCCATACACAAAGTTTGATTCTGATGAGAATTACACAACTATTAAAGCCGTGTTATATAATGGAAAGTATTTTTGACTTAGAACTAAGACACCTGATTTTTCTCTGAGCTTCCTCATTGGCAATGAAAGTTTTGAACTAGGTAGATCTCTTCCAATTATTACGATTTTATTTTATTTTATTTTAATTTTTGAGATGGAGTCTCGCTCTGTCGTCCAGGCTGGAGTGCAGTGGAGCGATCTCGGCTCACTGCAATCACTACCTCCAGGGTTCACGCCATTCTCCTGCCTCAGCCTCCTGAGTAACTGGGACTACAGGCACCCACCACCACACCCGGCTAATTTTTTGTATTTTTAGTAGAGACGGGGTTTCACACTGTTAGCCAGGATGGTCTCGATCTCCTGACCTTGTGATCCGCCTGCCTTGGCCTCCCAAAGTGCTGGGATTACAGGCATGAGCCACTGTGCCCGACCTATTATGTTACAATTTCTAAGCAGTAGTACTAGGACTAAATTCATTTCTAAATCAATGCATTTTCTACTTGACCGACTATAATAGAGATTTTGTTGTACTTCATTCTTACCACTTTCTAAACTTTATTTTGTTATAACTGTTAGGCTAGACTATCATCTTTCTTTTTTTTTTTTTTTTTTTTTTTTTTTTTTTGAGATGGAGTCTCGCTCTGTCGCCCAGGCTGGAGTGCAGTGGCGCGATCTCGGCTCACTGCAAGCTCCGCCTCCCGGGTTCACGCCATTCTCCTCCTCAGCCTCCCGAGTAGCTGGACTACAGGCGCCCAAACCGCGCCCGGCTAATTTTTGTATTTTTAGTAGAGACGGGGTTTCACCGTGTCCTCGATCTCCTGACCTTGTGATCCGCCCGCCTCGGCCTCCCAAAGTGCTGGGATTACAGGCGTGAGCCACCGCGCCCGGCCCAGAAACTTAATATTTAACCATCACTAAGGTGTAGGGAGATGTGCAGAATTCCAGGAAGGAGCCTTTTCAAATGAGCCAGGGTCTCATTCCAGATTTATTAAATTATTCCTTTGGTAGGGTTCCAGCATGTATATTTTGATGGAGAGCTCCACAGATTTGGGAATACATCCTTGATTTAGAACTGCCGAATGAAATAGCACAACTACTTTATCTGTCACAAGTGAGTCATGATTAGACATCTTTTGAGAATACATTTCCTTTAGAATTCCTAGTATGAGAAAGTTCAACATACTTGTCTGAAATGCCCACTCTTCTTTTATATCAGAATATGGATATATGTATAATTTCTAAGAATACCAGATAGTAAGTCTTAATGATAATAGGTCACCTAGAAAGTTGTAGACAGAATTATAAATTACAATAGACAAGGACCAGCCCTGGCAAACAGCTAGAAAGCCTTGTTTTCCCTAACAGACTTGCCCTAAGAAAAGCATGCTGAGTTGGTGATCCCCTTAGTTCTGAACACCAGAATGTCAAAACAGTTGTTTTCTATTAATGTCTTGATGTGAAGGGTTAGAAAGTACTAGATTATATGATCCAACTTTCAAAAGAGTATTGTGATATGAAATAGAAGTAGTGTTTTGGATTATTGTGGGAGAAGAGTGTGTGATTGTGTAAGTATGATAATATGTGTATACATATATGTAGAGTTATAAAATTTTGAGTTTACATATTTAAAATATGGGCCAATTAGCTTTGATTTTCAACCTTTTTTTCTGTTGCTGTACCATTTGTATGTAGGCTTTTTGGAAAAAAATTGGTGAGGGTTTTAAAAATCTAATTGCTTCCTTTATTGGAGTTTGGCCATCAATTTTTTGCCATTTAGACAGATTACAAAATATGAGTTTTGATCAAAGTAGAAATTCTTAATAGTGAAAGACTTAAAGATTTAGAGAAAAAGAATATCCTTTTACAGAGGTGAGAAGTAGGGTAGAAGGAGGAAGTTCTGTTAACTCCATTAACTTTTGGGCTCTGTATGGTTTAAGTGTAAGTACATTGTCTGCAAAAATTGAAGAGTTTATATCTCCCAGTTACCCAAGACAAGTATGTTTTCTGCTCTTGAAGAACTTTTCTGTTTTTACCAAATTGAGCCAATATTGAAATTATACTTTGTACAACATAATTAAAGCTCCATTACTAACATTGTAATTATCTTATTTTTAAATATCCTAATATTTTAGGTTGCAGAAGTTTTACAAGTACCTCCAATGAGAGTATATGAAGTAGCAACTTTTTATACAATGTATAATCGAAAGCCAGTTGGAAAGTATCACATTCAGGTCTGCACTACTACACCCTGCATGCTTCGAAACTCTGACAGCATACTGGAGGCCATTCAGAAAAAGCTTGGTAGGGAATACATGATATTTGTAACATGGATAAAAAATAGAATTGTCTCTCTAGATTTGATACATTTCTATCTAAAATTTCCAACTTGTGCCATCTTACTGGATCTGTGTTTTCACATCTTTATTTCTTCCTATTTGGTATTCTTCCTCGGTTCTTAAAGCTGAGTTTTTAATCTTTTCATTTTTAATCAGTGTGTTTGAAATGCTTCTAGAAGTTATAAAATATTCATTGTTTAGAAGATTGTTTCACTTAGAAAATTGTTTCACTTATTATTCTGTGACAGCATGTGGTATATTGAAAAGTGACCCATTATTGTCCTCATATTCTTCTAAAGAAGTCATGGAACAAATAAGATATAAGCATAGTAAGAATGCTTTGGGAAGGGAAATTTGAAACAGATGTTGTTATAGTAGCATTTTAAAAGTAAACGGGCACTTTCCCCTAGAAAACTGCTATTGCTACACTTCTAACTATGTATGTCAAATTAAGTACTATTTTGTTATTGAATATAAAGTACGTGCATGTTGTAAAAATAGCTGGGTGGTATTGAAATATATAAAACAGAAAGCTGAAGTTGGCTCAAAATGCCCACCCCCAAAACCATCAAGGTATAAATCCTGATAACAATTGGATATATTAGTTGTAGATTTTATATCATTTTAATTATTAAATATATAAACGTACTATATGTATGCTTGCTTTTTAGACTTTATTTTGGCTGTATTTCTACAGCACAATATATATGTCTGCCTCATTTTTTTTTTTCTTTTTTTTTTTTTGAGTTGAGGTCTCACTTTGTCACCAGACTGGAATGCAGTGGCTCAATCATGGCTCACTGCAGCCTCCAATTACCATAAATATCCAGGTTTTAAAAAAATTCTTTAAACATTTTTGCATTTAAAAGATCAAGTGATCTTTTACCTCACCCTCCTAAGTAGCTGGAGCTATGGGTGCATACTGCCAAACCCAGCTAATTGATTTTTGTTTTTGTAGAGAGGGGTCTTGCTATGTTGCCCAGGCTGGTTGTGAAATCCTGGCCTCAGGCAGTCCTCCCACCTTGGCCTCCCAACTGCTGGGATCACAGGTGTGAGCCACCATGCTTGGCCTGCCTCATTTTTCTGTTACAATTACTTTGATGTACACACATCTTTGCATACTTGTCCTGTTGTATACTGAGATTGTTTACAAGAAGTAGAATTGTAGGGTCAGACTTTGCTGTATTTTTCCCAAATGCATTCCGTAAATGTATGAGACTACCCATTTTCTTCACATCCCTTAATAATCTTTGACGTTAGAAGTTTTCTGAGTCTTTACCAAATCTGATAATGTGACTGTGATTTTAGTAGTTTAATTATTGCAATCAAAATGAAAATAATACAGCCTGATGCACTTCTGTATAACAACAAACACTGTGTCCTCTGAAATATGATTGCTTTTAAAGGAACAAGTCCACTAAAAACTTCCTTGAATGTTAAAATTACATAAAGAGGTTTTTTTGGGGTTTTTTTTTTTTGTTTGTTTGTTTGTTTTTTTGAGAGAGTCTTGCTCTGTCACCCAGGCTGGAGTACAGTAGCACAATCATGACTCACTGCAGCCTCAACCTCCTGGGCTCAAGCAATCCTCCTGCCTCAGCTGCTTGAGTAGCTGGGACTACATACCAGCTACTAATTTTTAATTTTTTTGTAGAGCTGGGTCTCCCTATGTTGCCCAGACTGGTCTCAAATTCCTGGGCTCAAGCCATCCTCCCACCACCGCGTCCCAAAGTGCTGGGATTATAGACTTGAGCCACTTACTGCATTTGGCCTAGGAGTTTTTTCTTTTTAAAAAACTTTTTTTTTTCTTTTTTTTGTGGGGGAGATGGAGTCTTGCTTTGTCTCCCAGGCTGGAGTGCAGTGGCCGAATCTCGGCTCACTGCAAGCTCCGCCTCCCGGGTTCACGCCATTCTCCTGCCTCAGCCTCCCGAGTAGCTGGGACTACAGGCGCCCACCACCATGCCTGGCTAATTTTTTGTATTTTTAGTAGAGATGGGGTTTCACAAGTGTTAGCCAGGATGGTCTCAATCTCCTGACCTCGTGATCCACCTGCCTCGGCCTCCCAAAGTGCTGGAATTACAGGCGTGAGCCACTGTGCCTGGCCTCTTTTTAAAAAACTTAATAGTCTTAAACTTTTAATTTACCTCTGTAAAAATTGTTCTTTTTTTTTTTTTTAACCAAATCACTATTAAAATATAACCTGGTCCTTAGAGTGTTTGTTTATATTTTTAGGAATAAAGGTTGGGGAGACTACACCTGACAAACTTTTTACTCTTATAGAAGTGGAATGTTTAGGGGCCTGTGTGAACGCACCAATGGTTCAAATAAATGACAATTACTATGTGAGTATTTCATGTAATGTAAGTTAAAGTTGTATGATTCATATTTGAAATATTTTAAATATTTGATCTTGTGTCCTTAGATGTTGGTTTCTGAATTATTCATTTAGAAGAAATGGTTACCATAAATATCCAGGTTTAAAAAAATTTTTTAAACATTTTTGCATTTAACTTCAGAAGACAAATTTTAAAACTTTAGATTATGAAAAATTTAATAATTTGGATATAAGTACAGAAAATAATCCTTGTGTAGCCAACTATCAGGACTTAACTAAGAGTAATATTTTGCCACATTTTACTTCAGATATTATCATCATCATTTGTAGAAATAAGCTACAGATACAGGTGAAATACTCCATTCCAAATCTTTTTCTCTTCCTTTTATCCCAGAGATATCTTTTATCATTATCATAAATTGTGTCTATATATGTATGCAGCCATACTAATACGTTATATGGCTTTTAAAAAAATTTTTATAGAGATGGTATCATACCTCTGAGTACTGCAGTTGGATCTCACAAGTTTTGCAGTCTTTTTTGTTTTTGATTGTTTCTATTGTTTTTTTAAGTTTTTCATTTTGATTCCTTTGACCTGTAAGTTTCTAAAAATGTTCTTAATATCCATATATATGGCATTTTCTAGTTATTTCTTTAAAAATTGCTTGCTACCCTAATTATATCACCATTTTAATTCAAGATACCTTGTTAGCTCATATTTCTTAGAAATTTGTTTATGGAAATTTTGGAGGGACTGTATTTAAGGTAGATTTTCTTTAAGAAGGGATTTGCTTTCTCTCTTGCTCCTGGCACTACTGCTGGCCCCAGAAAAGCCCCTCTCCTTATACCCTAGGCCTCTGTTCCTCTGGTGTGAAAGGTTCCAGACTAGCAGTTTTCTTTGAGGGATAGTTTACCCTTATACTGAGGTTAAAGCTTTTGGGGACCTTAACTTGTGTAGCTTATATGGTCTTCTGTTAGACTCTCTGGGGCTGGCTGGGTCCCTTGCCCCTTGCCCCTCTAAGCTTTGAAACCCTGAAGCCAATTTGCTTGATGTTCCACTTTTTTTCTTTGGTTTTCCTTGAGAATTTGGCCTCTGGGTACTTATTTCTTGATTTAAATAGGAATTAGACAATCAAGGCTTTGTGTGAAGCATTGTTAAGTCTAAATATAGTAGCCTGTAGACGGATTTGTCTGAGATAGATATTCTTTCAGTTAGCAGTAGTTAGATCTTTAGGGATAGATATTAGGCATCTAGTTAACAAGTTACTACAGCTACTTTGTACCTTACTGTTTCTTCAAGAATACAGCATTTATTTAGTATGTACCTTGACATTGTTCTGCTTTATATATTTTCTCATTAATCCTCAAAAACATGCTGAATTAGGTTTACAAATAAACTTGAGGAGGCTGGGTAACTTGTCCAAGATTACTAGCTAGTAAGTGATAGAGCCAGAACTCAAATGCAAATATGTTTCAATTCAAAGCAATATTCTGTATTGCCTCTTCAGCTGCAGCTCTTGTTGCATATTATATTTAGCAGTGTGTACTATATATAGGAGTTACTTAATTGTTGATGCCTTGGTAACTATCTTCTGAGCTGAGATAGACAATAAAATAACTGGCATTAGGGATTTACAGATTTCAGCAGTAGAAAGTAATTTTGTGCCAGGCGTGGTAGTTCATGCCTATAATCCCAGCACTTTGGGAGGCTGAGGCAGGAGGATTGCGTAAGCCCAGGAGTTGGAGACCAGCCTGGGCAACATAGTGAGACCTTGTCTCTATAAATATATTGATATAAAAGAAAGTAATTTCAATATGACTATTGTTAATTTTTTTCCAGGAGGATTTGACACCTAAGGATATTGAAGAAATTATTGATGAGCTCAAGGCTGGCAAAATCCCAAAACCTGGGCCAAGGTATGCTTTATTTATATATAAGAAGTTTTAGTGGCTCACCTAAATTAATCTTTCACATAAACTTAATTTAAAAAATTTTATACCTTAAGTTCATAGGAATTGGCAGGAGCTTTGGATAGTATTATCTGTATGAATGTCATCTACAGCAAGAATTTTTTTTTTCTAAAACCGTGTCTGATAATCATCTGATACCTATCTGAATATTTATAGAGAAGGAAATTTTACTACAAATAGAAATCTATTCCATTATTTAGAAGTTCATACTGATAGAAGATTGACCCAAAGACTATCTCCTTCTTAATTTCTACCTCAAAATCCAGTTCTGCCCTTTGAATCAACAAAAGGTAATTTTAGTACCTCTTCCAAATGACAGCTCTTCAGTTATTTGACATAGCTACCCTGTCTTCCCCGTATCTTTTTCTTAGATGGAATATCCAAAATTGTTTCATTGTTTTTCTCATATGACATAGCTTTGGTCTCCCTCCTCTGTGGGTTTTCTAGTTGGCTAGTGACTTTAATGCTTTAATGTGATGCTTAATCATGTTTTTTTTTTAAATATTTTGAGACGGTGTCTCACTCTGTCACCCAGTCTGGAGTACAATGGCGCAGTGGCACCATCTTGGCTCACTGCAAGCTCTGCCTCCCAGGTAGAAGCGATTCCCCTGCCTCAGGCTCCTGAGTAGCTGTTGATTACAGGCACCTGCCACCACGTCCGGCTTTTTTTTTTGTATTTTTAGTAGAGATGGGGTTTCACCGTATTAGCCAGGTCTCCGATCTCCTGACCTCGTGATCTGCCCACTTTGGCCTCCCAAAGTGCTGGGATTACAGGCGTGAGCCACCACGCCCAGCCTAATCATGGTATTTTGAGATACATACTGAGTAGCACAGAGCATTATGGGACTGCCTCCTTTGTTCCAGACATTATGCTTGTAATAATTCTGCCTAATTACATCAACTCCTACTTCAGAGACATTACGCAATTAACTGCACTTCATAATACATAGATCTTTTTCTATTCAGTTTATCCAGGTTGCTCCTATCCCATACTTGTGTTACATTAATTACTTTCCTTTCAGTTATGAACTTGAACTTTTAATTTTAAACAAACCCTTATTCCATATATAAGTGTTAAATCACTCAAAATTCTCTCTTAATACTAGCAAATGTTTGCATGGTTTTAGTCATAATCCCTCAAATTTTTTGTGTTTATATATATAAATTTTTTCTTCCCTCAGCACATTTGGAGGTTTTGATGTCCATACGGTAATTCTAATGTTTTAAAACAGCTGTGACGTGCTCTTACTCCAGTTTTAAAATATTTTTCTTAAGCTTTATTATAAATAAAAATTCCCTGAAGTAGAATTACTAAGAGGGTATGAGTGGTTCTATAGTTTGCTAAAACTACTAATAATACCCTATTTAATGAGAAAATGAGGTCGATTCAGGATAACTTAAGTTTAGTAAATGTTAGCTGACCCCTGTTGACCATTACTTTCTTTTCTAAGAAACACATACTGTTTTCAACACCCTGAGCATATAGAATTGAATTTCCTTAAGGAGTTTTGGCATTTTCTTCCTAATTCCTCACTTGCTTGGGTATACCCCCTTTTTAAGGAGGTAAATCATTTCCCTGGTGAAAAATCATTCTCCTTTATGGAGGCAACTGAAGTGAAATCTTTAGTCATCTAACATTACAGTATCTTTTTAGCTAGTGCTCCTATCTCTTACTTATTCTTGCTTTAAATAGACACTCTCCCCCCACTAAAAGTACAAATTCCATAGTATTTTCCACAAGCTTCACCTGCTTTTTAGGAGTCAGGTATTTTAAAATAAATTCATGCTATTCTTAGGTTTGTACTTCAACCCATAACTTCTTTCACCTTTTGGGTACTCTAAAGAATATCTCAAGTGCAGATTTCCTTGTGAAATCCACTTGGGTTCTTTAGATGGCCCCTCTCTTCTGATTAGATGTTTTAAATTCTATAGTCATAACTTTGTTGGGTTCCCCCCCCCACCCCCAGATGGAGTCTTGCTCTATCACCTAGGCTAGAGTGCAGTGGTGTGATCTCGGCTCACTGCAACTTCTGCCTCCCAGGCTTAAGCGATTCTCCTGCCTCAGTCTCCTGAGCAGCTGGGACTGTAGGCATGTGCCACCATGCCCAGCTAATTTTTGTATTTTTAGTAGAGACGGGGTTTTACCATGTGGGCCAGGCTGGTCTCGAACACCTGACCTCAAGTGATTTGCCTGCCTTGGCCTCCCAAAGTGCTGGGATTACAGGCATGAGCCACCACGCCCGGCCACTTTGGTGTTTAGAATATTCTGCTTTGCTTCTTGTGAACTGTGGGATCTATGGTTCACAACATTAATCCAGTTATTACTCTCCTGCCACACAAATTGATAGTTGCTTTGTCTACTTTGTTATGTCACATTACATTACATACTCAACAGTCATTTTTTTCACAAACTTTTTTTGAGTGCCTGCTGTGTCAGGCATTATTTTAGGTTGCGTGTACAATTATGAACAAAATAAAGTTCTCATCTTCTAGTGATGGAAACAGATGACTAGTGTAATATGTGAATGATAAAAAGGCTACACAATAAAATGAAGCAGGGTTAGGGGATAGATTGGGAGTAAATTTAGTGAGGAGAGGCCTCTTAGAGGTGGTAACATTTGAGACATGAACTGAATGAAGAGCTAGAGGGAACCATGTGAAGTGGAAGGAACAGTGTTCCGGGGAGGGGAAAGAGGATGTATCAAAGTCCTGGAAGAAAAGTAAGGTAACAGTGTGACTGTAGTGAGGTGCTCAAGAAAGAAAGCAGTGGAAGGGGTCAGAGGAGATAAGGCCCAGATCAGTAATCTGGGCTGAATCTTAAATATAATAAAAACCGTTGTTGGAATGTTTTCAGTAGGGAATGAAATGAGCAATCTTAAAAAATATTGTCATAGTTGCTATGTGGAGATTAGAATTTAGTAGATGTGTGGGACTAAGGATTTATGAGTGATTTCCAGCTTTTTGGCTTGAGCATCTCTGAGGTTCCTTTACCGAAAATGGAGATTTGTGGTAGGGCAAGTTTGGGGAAGAAAAGTCAAATTTTGTTTTAGACATAGTAAGTTTGAGATGCCTGCTAGACATCCATGGTGTGATGCTGATAGGTAGATATGAACCTGGAATATAGGGAATAGGTTAGGGCTGGAAATGCAAATTGGGGATTCATCAGTTATTAAGGGTAGTATTTAAAGTTATAAATCCGGATGACATCGGGGTGAAATTAAAATCTGTTATTTGTAATATGAGGTACTATAACATTGTACTTTAACAATAAGCAGGAACTAAGTACTCAGTTAAGCATTTTCAACAACATCTGATAATAATAGGGATGTTGTTTATCAGTAATCATGAATAGTTTTTCACTGAGATTTTCTTGATAGTGTTCTGGATTTGAACCAGATACTTTAAAATTATTAGTGTCTGAATCTGCTTTTTTAACTTACTACTTCATTTAAAAAGCAGACAAAAGTCTACTTAGGTTTCAATAATTGCAAGCATCCACCAATGCTGTATTATATAAAGCTTGTATTTGGACATAGCAATACTAGAATGTCTTGTCAGCATATGAAAACAAGAACTTTTCACTTTACTTACCCAGTATCTCGGATATATAGGATAATGACAGAGACTGGGATAGCAATAACCATAATACAGTTATAGTTAACTCTTTAACCAAAGCTCTCTGATCCGTTTTTATTGGTATTTTAATAATAAATATCTCTGCTCTTTGAAAGAAGTACTAATGGTGAGTCTCTGTAATGAAAAACCGAGAGGAATTAAACTGCTTCAATAGTAACTGATCCCTGAGTACCACTGCCAGGTCTTATCCTGGCCAAAATTAGTAAAAGATTGATGTCTATTTGTGCTTCAAAACTGCTTTTGTATTATTGTTGGTGAATGACCACTGAAAATATTAAAGCAGTGGTAAGATAGTACAGTTGACTCTTGAACACTATGGGCATTAGGGATATTGATTGCTTATGCAGTTGAAGATCTATGTGTAACTTTTGACTCCTCCAAAACTTTACTGATAGCCTGCAGTTGTCCAGAGGCCTTACGAATAACATAGCACATATTTTGCATGTTGTATTATATATTGACTGTATTCTTACCATAATCTAGAAAAAGTAAAATGTTATTAAAATCATAATGAAAATATGTTTACTCTTCATTAAGTGGATCATAATACAAGTCTTCGTCATCATTTCCATGTTGTATAGGCTGAGGAAGAGGAGGGGTTGGCCTTGCTGTCTCAGAGGTGGCAGAGGCTGAAGAAAATCCATGTATAAGTGAACCCATGCAGTTCAAAACTGTGTTGTTCAAGGGTCAGCTGTACTCTCTTAAACTTGACATTACTAAATATGTTTGTGCTGAGATTGTTCTTATTTTCAGTGAATTTAAAGTACTGAAAAATTCTAAACTTGTTTTCAGGTTACTAATAGAAAGTTTTTAGCGTGGATTAGTTTATAACTCATTTTAAATCCAATTTTAATTCTGCATATTTAGTTTATAAAGACATTTTAAATTTTGCATAATTCCATGGGGTGCAGGTAATATCTGAGATGTAAAAAATATAGAGCCAGGCTATAGTTCCAGTGCGGTTGGTAGATGACTCTAGACAATAGTATCACTTTTGGTTTTTTATACTAAAAGTAGGAACAGTGCTGGATATAGCTCAGCAATAGTAAAAAGATAAGCACTAAACTTTCATAAAGTGATTTGTGTATACAAACTACTTTAAGCCATGAAAGTTTACAGAAAGGCCAAGTTTTCTAGAATGCAAATGAGTTAAAATGGTACACATACGTATAGCGTTGGAATGACTGACGAACCATACTTTTTGAATTTTAGTGAAGACAAGGTAATTACCAGATGGCATTTTAAGCATGAGATATCAGGAAAATCATTTTTTGTTTAGTAAGTGAAAAACACTAGTGTAAATTGTGGCTGTCAGGTGAGTGGATAGGGCTAGCTCACTGCCTCTTGAGTGTTCTGAAGCATGTTTACAGATGAAAGGGGGGGTTACATTTTTAGTAGATTAAACAAAATGATAGGCTTTATTGGAGGATTTTGTAGCCTTTGTAGTATTTTAAGGTATACTGTGTGAATGGCAAGGAAGGGAGGTTTACAGCCAGACATACTGGATCACTGGAACTCCCGTTTTTCTAGACAATGCCATGGGATTGTAATTTTATGGAACAAACTTTAGGAAATGACCAAATTATTTTTAAAGGTACTTCCGGCCAGGCGTGATGGCTCACGCCTGTAATCCCAGCACTTTGGGAAGCCGAGGCGGGCGGATCACGAGGTCAGGAGATCGAGATCATCCTGGCTAACATGGTGAAACCCCGTCTCTACTAAAAATACAAAAAATTACCCAGGCGTGGTGGCAGGAGCCTGTAGTCCCAGCTATTCGGGAGGCTGAGGCAGGAGAATGGCATAAACCCGGGAGGTGGTGCTTGCAGTGAGCCGAGATCGCACCACTGCACTCCAGCCTGGGTGACAGAGCAAGACTCCATCTCAAAAAAATAAATAAAATAAAATTACTTCCATATATAAAATTGTATAATCCTGTGAAGAACTCAGGAAGTACTTACGATTAATTCTCCCATTTATTGTTCCAGAAACTTCAGTTTTTATAATCTTCCTAAATTGATCCTTTGTGTTGAAAAACTGTGTGTCGATATTAAGGAGCTTATTAATTTTAGAAGATCTGTATCTATCCAAACTGGTAAGACACTTTAAGATACCAAATGCTCAGCTTTCAGAAGACATCTAAAATGAAACTTTCAAATCCTATTCCATTCTGACATTTGATCAAGAGAAAAGTTTTAGGCAGAAAAGAAAACAGGTAGCTGAGCTTAAACCGTAAGAAGAAACCTAGTAAAGGCGAATAAAGTTTCTCCAAAATAATTTCATTGGCATTTAAAGAGCAGCAGTGGTGCCTATCAATAGATAACATAAAAAATTACAGGCCGGGCACAGTGGCTCACCTGTAATCCCAGCACTTTGGGAGGCTGAGGCGGGCAGATTGTTTGAGCCAACAAATTCACGACCCGCCTGGGCAACATGGTGAAGTCTCGTCTCTACGAAAAATACACAAATTAGCCAGGCATGGTGACGCACACCTGTAATCCCAGCTACTCGGGAGGCTCAGGTGACAGAATCACCTGAGCCTGGAAGGTCAAGACTGCAGTGAGCCTTTATTGCATCACTGCACCCTAGCCTGGGTGACAAAGTGGGATCCTGTCTCAAAAATAAATAAAATTTAAAAATTGCAAAATATAATACTTTTTTTTTTTTTTAGTTAAGTATCATTTTGCTGCTTACTCTACAAGTTTCAGGCTCTTACAATATACAACTGCTTTTTGATCTGTTTTTGTAGTGAACAAGACCTGTAATCCAAATATATTAACTGATTTCTGACTTTGTAGACATTGTTCATTACTTAGTAACTTGTATTATATGCTGTCTTGAAAGATCTTATAAATATTATGTGGTGTCATTTCCCAGGCTCCAACAAAAAATGATTTCCTAGGGCTGTAAAGAAAGGACTTAAAGGATTGATGACACAATGTGAAGGGCAAAGCCAGAGGGGGTTGAAAAGATATAAACTGAACAAGTTCTTTCTTTAGGTAAATCTGTGGCAGGAACAGGTAAATTAGCAAAGCCAGGCAATAGTGGTGGACGGGTGACATGATATGGTAAGCGCTGAGCTGGGCTCTAGAAACAGAGGTCAGACAGGGCAGAGGTGAGCAATTACCTGGGAAAGTGTGTGTGGGGTTGACAGACAGGTTCTTCTCCCTCTATGCTGCCTGTCTTCATAAATTGCTCCATCAGGACTTGTTCTTGTTTGCTTCCTTTTGTGGCTGCTGTGGCCATCCTGGTTTGGAAACTTTTCCAGAAAATTACTGCTACTAATACAGTCTTTATAATACATAAATACAAACTGATTTTGACTTCGCTGCTTCTAAGGGACATTGTCCCAAATCATATTTCCTCAAGGAATCCAGTTTCTCTCTATTTCCAAATACAATATATAAGTGTGTGTATTCCCTGTATTCACTGTGACTGTGGATCTTGATCTAAATAAAATTCAATTATAAGAAATACAGTGCTCTAGTTTATTAAAACATGGTTTTTAAAAATGTTCTCTGGGGTTGGGTATTTTTGCCATAGTTCTTTGCTTTGATTCTTGGGTAGATGCTGAATCTCCCAAATTTGGTTTCTCATCTGTAAAATAAAGTCAGTATCACTTGTCTTGTGGCATTGTAAAGATTAAATGAGCTAATGTATGCATACTGCTCAGTAAACAGGAACTATTGTTAGTGCTACTTTTGTATTTTTTATGTTTATGGTGAAGTCTGATGTTTTTCTATATTTAGGAAGAGAAGATCTTGCATCACTTGAAATGTTTGAATTAAATAATCCATGCTAGTTCTTGGGGTAAAAATAGTTACTTAACTGGGCTCTTGTGAGGTAACAATTACAATTTAAGTAGAAATTTAAAAATGTTAATCATTAATAGTTTAATATTACTTTTCATTTCAGGAGTGGACGCTTCTCTTGTGAGCCAGCTGGAGGTCTTACCTCTTTGACTGAACCACCCAAGGGACCTGGCTTTGGTGTACAAGCAGGCCTTTAATTTATATTGAACTGTAAATATGTCACTAGAGAAATAAAATATGGACTTCCAATCTACATAAACTTTTTATATTATGTTTATTCTGCTTTGTGTACATCCTCGTGGTAACCTTAGCAACTTGCAGCTCTAAGTATTATGTCATAATGACAGAGGACCATTTTAAAGTCTTCTATCTATGACTGTGAAGACATTACATAATCTAGTTAACAGTTACTCTGGTGTCACCCCTTTTCAATTTCCAGATTGCTTTTATCAAGATCAGGTTACTGTGAAGTAAAAATTTGGTCAAATTTCACATGTTTTGCTTTCCCATCTTTAGCCACAGCCAAGTTTTAAGTTAACATGATCTTTCTATAAACTTTTGTCAGTGTTCCTTGGAAACATTATTGTATTTACAACACATAATGGTTACTGTATTTCCAACTGGTGAGACCTCAAGTGCACTGTAGGTTTAAGGAGGATATGGTAATTGTCTCTAGTCTCTAGAAGCATTACCTTTTTTTTTTTTTTTTTTTTGAGACGGAGTCTGGCTGTGTCTCCCAGGCTGGAGTGCAGTGGCGCAATCTCGGCTCACTGCAAGGATTACAGGCATGAGCCACCGTGCCCAACCGAAGCATTACCATTTTTAGAAAAGAAAGGTCCAAAACACTTTTGACATTATCCTTAGCTATTCTGACACTGCAAGTACACAAAAAATAATTGGGTGAAGGTATTGGAAGCATGATTGTATACACTCTGCAGTGGTATGGATATTACAACTTAGAAAAAAGGATAAAACCATTTGTGTATTAAGAAACTAGCTGTAGTACATTAGTTTTACAAATAGGATTAGCCAGCTTTAATGCATGAATAAATTTATATATATTAGATTTATCTATCCTTGATTTCTCAAAGTCACTTGTACTTGAAACAGACCATTCACTATTTATTTTTTTTTTGAGACAGGCTGTGTCTCCAGGCAGGAGTACAGTGGTGTGATCATGGCTCACTGCAATACTCTGGCCTCAGAGGGGTGCCACCAACCTGGTTAATTTTCATGTATTTTTTTAGAGACAGGGTCTTACTATGTTGCCCTGGCTGGTCTCAAACTCCCAGGCTCAAGTCATCTGCCCGCCTCAGCCTCCCAAATTGCTGGGATTACAGGCGTGAGCCACCGCGTTCGGCTATAACGATTATTTTTAAGTATATCTTTAAGAATTTTTTTTTTTAATTGAGACACGGTAAACAAGAGTTAATTTTCCAAGTGGCACAAAAAAGTAATGAAAATGTCCTAGCCTGGAGCTCTCTTGACTTTCTCATAGGCGACTTTTTCTTTGTATTTCACATCATAAATAACCAAATTAAATAACACTATTCCACCTCTAGCCGTAAGGTGCTCTCTTTCTAGTCTTGTTGACCCTAATGATTTGTAGGTGGGAGAAATCGGGAACCTAGGAAAGGGAAAACTCCTGATCTTTAATGCAGGTTTATGCTTTATATAGTAATTTGATGGGACCTCGCCGTCCCTGTCAGGTCTGAATGTCATTTCATCTGCTGTGATCACATCTGAACCCTCAGTTCATCAAGACTAAAGGACAGTTTAACATAAACTTGTAACTGCATGCAGTAAGTCATAAACGGACGCTGTTGTTGCAGATTAACCTCTGCGTAAATAATACGCGCCCAGAAGGAAGTGAGCACACGGGGTTGCCACGCTGCGACGGTCAATCTTCCTCAGGCACCCTTCCCAGTACCTGAGCAGCTCCCTCTCGAATCCCCAACACTACGTGTGGGAACGTGTACTGAATTCCTCTTTAAAGAGGCCACTGGAAGGCGTGGCTGGAAGGGGACGCGCTCTAGATCCCCTGGTCCCAGGGCAGGTGGACGCTACCGCGCTTTCGGGGCGGGGCCCAGGGCTCCACCTGGGGCGGGGGGCCGCGGGCTCTGGGCGCAGGTGCAGCTTTTCCGGCCTGGTGCGGGGCCAGGCGGCCGCCGCCGGCTTAGCGGGGGAACTTCGCCTAGTCCTCGAGCTGCGGTCACAGCGTCATTTTGCCTGAGTTGGATCACGCTCGTCCACCCATCCCGTGTAAAAATAACAGGTGTATACCCTATGTGGGGATCTTCATCGCCGCCGCCTTTTCCAGAAGCTTCCAGTCACAGCCACTGCCACGGTCGCCACAAATGCTTCTGCAGAGCCCGCTTGCCCAGCAGCGTCAGCGGCGCCTGCCCTGCCTCTTCACCCAGCCTTTGATTCCCCCTCCTTTGTCGGATGGTGTCTGCGGCGGGGAGGCGGTAACACTAGCCCGAGTGGGGCGTGGAGACCGACTAACACAAAGGGCGGAGTTCCGGCCCGCACCCCTCCGCCGCCTGCCGCTTGGTACGTCCCGCTTCCCCGCCCTGCAGCTCGCGGAGCCTGCCTGAGCAGCAGGAGGGGCGGGCGCCGGGGGGCGGGGCGGTCACGCCGCCCGTCCCGTGCCCGCGGGAGTCACGTGTCCGCAGGTGTCACGTGCTCGCGTCGCAGCCAATCGCGGGGCGGCCCTGTCCTGGGAGCGAGGAGGCTGTGGTGAGAGACGGACCGAGACCGGAGATGTTTTCAAGCCCGGCCCCGGCGGTGTTACAGGCGGTTGCAGCGGCGACGAAGACAACGACAGCGACGGCCACGCCGAGGCACTCGTTCCGGGGGTGAAGCCTCCTGCGCCGGCCTTGCCTCGGGTCCGTGCGGGTGAGGGGGGCGTGGCGACAGGAAAGGAGGAAGGAGGGGCGCGGTTTCGAGCTTGTCCCCGGCGCCTGGGAGGAGACCCCCTCAGTTCTGCGCTGCTCCCGTTCCCCCACCCCAGAGCAAGGTAGGGGACGCGCCCTGCCCGCCCCACCCGGCCCCGACGCGCCGCCCGCCTAGCCTGGCCCGAGCCGCAGCCCGCCTGACAGTGACAGGCCGTTAGTGCCCCCCGGCGCGGGTTCGCCGGGGCCCCGCCTGCCCCGCTGCCGCCGCCCCTCCCCGCGTCTTGAGGAGCCTTGGCGCAGGTGGGAGCCGCCAACTGGGCGGGGGCGCCGCGCGGGGCGGGGCGGGGGCCGGGTGGAGGACCGCGAGCTGGCCTGGGCGCGGGCGCCCTCACCGCGGCTGTCGGGGCTGGGCTGCCGCCGCCTCCCGGAACATGGCGGGGCCGGAGGAGCGTGTGCGTGCGAGTGTGAGTGTGCGCGGCCGAGAGGGCGCCGCTGGCGTGCGGCGGTCGGACCCGCGGGGGCGGGGGCGCGCCTGGCCCGCCGCGCGTTCCCGTCGCTAGCCGCCGGGCGTGCGCCGACGCCGGGGATTCTGCTGGGGCCGCTCGGGCCGGGAGCGTTGGAGGTACCCGGGTCCTGGGAGAGGTGGATGAAAGCAAGAAGGGGAAATTGCTGCTTTAGTAGTGTACGGGGAAAGAGCTGCCACTCTACAGTTCTGTCTTAAATGTCGGCGTAATCTAACCTTGCCGCATTGGGCAGGCGGTTCATCGTTTTTCAAGTGCCCACTTGAGATGCTTCAAGACCCCTGGAGCACGTCAGGTGCTTAGATCTCGTTTTGAGGAGTGATGTGGAATGACGCATCCCTCCAGATCCCAAAGCGTTGAATCAACGGTTGTACAAAGAGGTATCCGAAGCTTAGCTGACAGCTGTTTTAGTAATAACAGTAAGACGCTGTCTGGGATAGGAAGTTACTGTTGCACTCGTTGAAACCTTAGGAAACATTTAAAGCAGTGTTGTCACAGGGATTGTAATTTCCACTAGACACCTGTGGTTAAACTGCGAACTAAGGTGAAGTGTGTTGCACATCCAGTGCTGTGTATGTAATGGTTCGGAATTATCTCTAATCCTAAAGTTGAAATGAGCCTGCATCTTCCGTCGTGTATTTCGTTTTCATTTTAGAATGGTTTGTGTAAATTATAAAGAAAGGCTAGGGAAATAGATATTTTAACATAAATTAACTGTTTATTAACAACATATGCACGGCCGGGTGCAGTGGCTCATGCCTATAATCCTAGCACTTTGGGAGGCCGAGGTGGGTAGATCACCTGAGGTCAGGAGTTTGAGACCAGCGTGACCAATATAGTGAAACCCCATCTCTACTAAAAATACAGAATTAGCCAGGCGTGGTGGCGCATGTCTGTAATTCCAGCTACTTGGGAAACTGAGGCAGGAGAATCGCTTGAACCCAGGCGGCAGAGGTTGCAGTGAACCGAAATCGTGCCACTGCACTCCAGCCTGGGCAACAAGAGTGAAACTCCTTTTCAAAAACAAACAAAAAAACCAAAAACATATGCTGAAGTAGGACGTTAAAAATCTTGGGCACAGATCTGAGTTTCTTCAATTGTTATACAAAGCCTTTCCTGGAGATTAGCTCAGAACTGGCCGAACATATGCTCTATTGGTGCCAAGTGGCTTAAAAGCAAAATGAAATAGTGTCCACTGTGTAAGATGAAGTCGTTATATTAACTAATCTTGTTGAGAAAAATCTTTAATTTGGGTTAAAAGCGAAACCTTTAAAGATTTGAAATATTTTCCCCTGGAGATTATAGACAAGGGGAGATAGGTTTTAGTGCTTAAGAATCTTTTATTTGATACAGGCACTGAATACATTTCTGAAGCTCTACAGGCATCTTGGCTAAGGTCAAGTTTAACTCGTTATGTGTTTTATGTTAGAGATAGACGAGATGTTAAAATGGAAGGAAAATGAGTGTTAAGTGTACTTATGTAGGATACTTTTAATGTTCTTTATCTCATAGTTCTCATAGTAGTTGTTAAGAATTAGTTATTGGAATAGTTTCATGAACTACACAGAACTGGGAAAGTGGAAATCTCTGGGTGTGTATTCCATGAAGAATATTTGAGGAGGAGTAAAGAGAACAAAAATATTCAGACGAGGAAAGAATTTAGCTGAAAATACATTGTGCAGACTTATACTGGTTTGTTAATACCGAAGGGGGAAAAAAAGCCTGAATTTTATTTGCAGACTAGTGTCCAGCTGGTAGAATGAGTTTAAAAGGAAGATGTTTTTATCAAGCTGTCGATATTACTTTTTCCCTATAGAAGTTGGAAAACATGACTGATAGTC